TGCGCGCGGCGCGGGGCGAGGAGACGGAGCACACCCCAGTGTGGTGCATGCGGCAGGCCGGGCGCTACCTGCCCGGTGAGCAGGCGGAGGCGTGCCGGGTTGGGGACGGCGAGGGGGACGCAGCGTGCACCCCGTAACGCTTGCGTCGGTCCCCTGCAGAGTTTCGGGAGACCCGGGCGGCGCAGGATTTCTTCGCCACTTGCCGGAGCCCCAAGTTGTGCTGTGAGCTGACGCTACAGGTGGGAATCCCCTGAGGGGTCTGTGTGTCCCACGTGGGGACGGGGAGAAACCTTGGGCCTGGCCACCCCGCGTGGCCCCAGTAAGTTGTGCAGCCCTTGGGGAACCCGCTGCCCCACGTGCTCGTCCAGCTCCTCCGTGGGGGGGGGTCCCAGCCCCTCACTGACGCTGCCTCTTCCCCTCCGCAGCCGCTCAGGCGATTCCCCCTGGATGCTGCCATCATTTTCTCTGACATCTTGGTGGTGCCCCAGGTGAGAGCCGTCGCTGGTGGTGGCAGCTGGGAACAGGGCTGGGTTCAGGGCCACCCCATTCCTGATTCTTCCGTTCTCCCCTGTCCCCAGGCGCTGGGCATGGAGGTTGTCATGGTCCCCGGCAAAGGACCCACGTTCCCAGAGCCCCTGAAGGAGGTGGAGGATCTGCTGAAACTGCGACAGAAGGTGGACGTGACCGCGGAGCTGGGTTACGTCTTCCAGGCCATCACGCTGACACGACACCGCCTGGAGGGCAGGGTGCCCCTCATCGGCTTCTCCGGGGCGCCTGTAAGCGATGCGGCTCCTCCGTGTGGGCTTCCCAGCTGGGCTTCTCTGCTCTTTCTTCTGGGGCGACACCGGCCATGAGGCCCCAGAGCTGTGGGTGCTGCAGGGGTGCGTAGGTGGGGGACATTCAGCGCAGGAGCAGCTGTGCCCCACCCGGGCTCTGGGGCGGTCACCTTCAGCACTGAGACCGGCCCCTCGTGTCTTCTTTGTCTCCGTCACCCTCCTCACTCCACTCTCCTTCCCGCAGTGGACGCTCATGTCCTACATGATTGAAGGTGGCGGCTCCACGACAATGGCCAAGGCCAAGAGCTGGCTCTACCGTCACCCTGAGGCAAGCCACCGACTGCTGCGGCTGCTGGCCGATGTCGTCACTGACTACCTGGTGGGGCAGGTGGCTGCTGGAGCGCAGGTGTGTCCCGGGGCATGGGGACAGGGCCAGGCAGGGACGGGGGACAGGGAGCAGAAAGCATCCAGCTTCTGGGAGGAGGAGGAGGAAGGGCTGAGGTGCGGCTCTCCCAGCCCCATGTCCGCTGCAGGCGCTCCAGCTGTTTGAGTCCCACGCGGGGCACCTGGGCCCGGAGCAGTTCCAGGACTTCGCCCTGCCTTACATCCGAGACATTGCCCGGGCTGTCAAGAGCAAGCTGAAGGAGGAGGAGCTGCTCCTGGTGCCCATGGTGAGTCGGGGCGGCCTGGATTGACCCCGGCCTCTGGGGGTGCTGGAGAGGGGTGCAGCCCCTGGTACCTGCCCCCCAGGTCTAGCCCGCGGAGAGGGGCTTGACCCGTAGCAGAGTTACTGCCCGTCCCCTCCCTCCCCAGATCATCTTTGCGAAGGACGCGCACTACGCGCTGCGCGACCTGGCCCGTGCCGGTTACGAGGTGGTTGGTCTCGACTGGACCATCCGGCCCCAGGAGGCTCGGTAAGAGAGTGGCAGAGCCCCAGGTGCCTGGGCAGCACCACGGGCCAGGTACCCTGACCTCTGCCTCTGCCCTGGGTCATCCCAGGCCTGGAGATTTCTGCTCCAGAGGTGGGGATAGTTGGGACCCCATGCTACGTGGAGCTCACAGCAACCAAGGGCTGCACTGAGGGGTCCTGTGTGCCCTGCGGTGAGGGCTGCGGGCACCGGGCTGCACCACGTGCAACATCTCACCTGCTTCCTCCCTGCTGCAGTGCACAGACAGGGAAAGATGTCACTCTGCAAGGGAACTTGGATCCCTGTGCGCTCTATGCACCCAAGGTGAGCCGTGGCCATCGCCAACAATGGGGGCTGGTTCCTGCCTTTTTTAAAGTCCTCCTGCCTCAGTTTCCCCACCTGAAGTGGTGGCTCGTGTCCCAGCAGTCTCCCAGGCTGGCTGGGGACTGGTGGGGGTGGAATACCCTGGGCTGGATGGGGCTGACACATGGTTTCCCACCGCGCGGACAGGAGAAGATTGGCGAACTGGTGAAGAAGATGCTGGAGGCTTTCGGGACCCAACGCTACATCGCCAACCTGGGCCACGGCCTCTACCCAGACATGAGCCCTGAGCACGTGGGTGCCTTTGTGGAGGCCGTGCACGCTCATTCCCGCCAGATCAACAAGCACAGCTGAGCCTGGGGGCTTGGGGGACAGGACTCTGGTTTGGGTACAGTCACCCCAAGTCGTGTGTCCTCACAGGGCTCGCTCCAGGCTGGGCTGTGGCATTAAACCAGCACCTTCTCCACAGCAGCCGTGTGGCTCTGGCTGGGGGGACGGGGGACTGGGTGGCCCTGCAGGAGATGGGCAGGGATGGCAGTCTGACA